AAAAAAAAAAAAAAAAAAAAAAAAAAAACAAAAAAAAAAAAAAAAAAAAAATATATATATATATATATATATATATATATATATATATATATATATATTTTTTTTTTTTTTTTTTGTGCGTTTTATATATATCTGAATCATGTTCTAAACCGTACAAATTGGCGCCACTTTCCCTCCAAAACACCAATTTATTTCAAGGGCCCTCGAGCGTGCCCCAAACCTGACAATAATTTCGGTCGAATTGCGGTAATGTGCGCTTGACAGCAGCCAGGCCTCACCTGAGCTCCAATCTTTTTAAGAGTTTTAGACAGTTTGAACCAGAAATCAAATTTATGTAAAATACTGCTCCAAACTGTCTTATAAGTCTTGTTTTGGTCTTTTAGTTTATAATTTTTAGTTACTTTAAATACCTTATGATTTTATTTATGACACATTGTAAAACTTCAACCTTTAGGTTGCGATTTTAGCAAATAAATTATTATAATAATTATACAAATATAAATTATAAATTATTATTATTATTATTATCATTATTATTATTATTTAGGAGGTAAGGGTCAGCCTGGCAATCCGAGGCCTGTCAATCCCTAAAAATCCCCCCCCCCTTCAAAAAATTCTGGAACTACCCCTGTATACCATATAGAGGCCCTTCTCACGCGCTGCGGTAAATTTTAACCGGACCAGCCGTGTTTGAAAATTCTAGAAATTTGTCTAAATGGTTTGATGGATAATTGTCAAGATTAAACGTAGCTCATTTCAAAAATTCCATTACTTTTTTAACTTACGCTAACCAACTGACAAACCAACAAAAGCAAAACCACAGGCCCCCTTGAGATGGCAGTAATGAGGTAAGCGCAATTAGCTGTTGCCAGTTGTCCCTGTGGGAAATTCAACAGGACCGGTTTTTTTAGGGTTGTAAAAGTCGCTGAACCTCCAAATTTTAAGACAGCCCATTTGAAAATCTTATCAAATTTTTGAATGATTTTTTACGTCAGGCTGTTACATGTAACTAAATCAACAACAGTGCAACAAACGCAAAACCATAACCTCCTTGGCGATTACGGAGCTTTGTTAGTATCATATTGTATTTATTTTTAATTATATTTTATTTTATTTTATTTTATGGAATTTCCACCGCGGTGTAAATTATTTTTCACCGCGGTGAAAATTCCATAAAAAACTTAAATGAAAATAAAAAAGTTAATATGATACACACAAAGCTCCGTAGGCGATGGCAATAATGGGTCAAGTCAAATGCAATACGTCTAAGAAATGGAGAAAAATTTCCAGTTGTTTTAACCCACCCATGTTGAAGCTGTCCAGAAGCCTCTCTTGTACTAGCACTATGGTAATCCGATTAAGAGTTGTACACCCGCCCTGTAAGACGAACTCTGCTATTGCCTCCAACATCCCCTTGCCTACCTCCTGGGGGTCCTGCCTGGCCGCTCCTGGAGAGAGGTGGACGGATATTTCAGAAAAAAATTATGTTAACAATAATCCAAAAACTGGAGTAATTGGAAATATTTTTCAGGTTTTATAATTTTATTTTTCACGAATTAAACTTAGTGCATTTTATAATTTACATTCTAAGATGATATTCAAACTCGCTAGAACAACATAACGATATAGATGGAATAAATGAAATTCAGCAGAAATGTGAATTAACATGAAAAATAAAAAAAATGTACAACCGTTTTGAAATAGAGAATTTACACAGCCTGCCCACACTCTGTTCAACCCAGTGGTTTTTACCTGTGCCAAATGCGGGCATTGCAATAGATTGGGCTTCAAGGCGATTCGCTTCTTGCAACACTCTTATCGTTCTGTCCTTCCACGTGCCATTTGAAAAAATATCCAGGTGGATCACGTGTTTGCAGTTCAGGTCACCGGGGTCACTGACCGCCAGGCCGTTGCTCCCTGTCCGACCTGTTGTGAATACGGACACAATTGAAATGGCAATACTGCCACCTTTATGTACATGTATTAGAAACCATAACAATAAACTGAACATTACATAAAAGAGTCAAAGACACACATGTGCAGTATGATGAAATATCAATAGTTGATTTGTTTCACTAGTATTAATTAAGAGGACGGAGAAGGGCACTGTGTTAAAGAGCGTGGTATAATTCAAAGAAGCTCGTGATCAACTATATCCGCTGTGCATAAAAGTTTATTAAATATTTTGAAAAATAATTGATAAAGATAGCTTTTCTGTTAAAGTCTGCTTTAAAGAATCTATAAGGAACTTAATAAGAAGATAATGCAAGTGTTAAAACCTACCAACGCGTTTTCTCGATTCTTCATAGCCTCTTCCTCCGACTCTAGCTAGGGTACTGGCCAGTTCACCTGAAAATAAACACAAAAAACTTTTTGAATTATGTAACATACGTGATAATTGTGTGGCACATTGTGTGGCACACTTTAGCGATACAGATTAGCCATAAAATAATATAATAATATTTATTTATGGTCTAAAATCCAAATAATATTTTCAGTAGACTTCACAAGGGTAAAATGAACAGAACAACATAAATAAATTCAATAAATAAATAAATAAATAGACAATTAAAATATTTTAATATCTGAGAAGATATAAAACAAATAGTACAATGTAAAGATAACAGCCAGTTAAATCAGTTATGAAACTTTTTGAAAACAAAAGTGTTCAATTTTTTTTTAAATTGTCCTCAGACTCTATGGTTTTGAAGTATATCGAGAGAATGTTCCATTCATTTGGTCTATAGACTTGAAAAGCTGTTCTCAATCCTGGCATTATACGGCAGGAGCAAAAACTGGTCAAGTGATCTTAAACTACGTTTTGGAACATAATGATGAACTTTTTTTTGTTAGTACCAGTACGGGGGTGCTGACTGGTAAAAAATTGCACGCATAAAAGTGAAAATTTTGAATAAAATGCGTGCTGTAACAGTGAGCCAGTCCAAGTGCCTAATACAACTTTGAGAGACTGACATCCCCAGGCTCTTAATTAACCTCTCCCCCCACCCACCCCATCCCCAACAGCAGGGATCGAACTTGTGAAAGTGAGTATAACTCCCCCCTGTCGCGTAAATACATGATAGAGTCCCTGAAAATGTATCGCTGAAGTATACATTGTACCTCGATGGGGCCGCTAGTAATCTGTAACTAAATTCTTTAATGGATATTATAGCTGAGGTGTCAGTTGGTGCCCCTAATTAAAATGCGTGCTCTAACAGTGATTAACACTAGAACGAAAAATGGCCTTTGCAACCTTAAAATTTATCTGATATGAACCGACCTTCTTTTATCTACTTTATGACAGTGACCTTGTGCCTGATATCACTCATAATATGGACATGATTACACAGCAAATAAAACTGCAGGGAGGAAAAAATAATGAAAACTGTACCTTACCATGGTTTAAAGATATTCATTTGTGTAGAAAGGGTCTCGTTCTACGGGCTCTACTTTTAGAAATATTTGATAATATGTAGATAAATCAATCATCCCTCTCTCTCTACGATTAATAAATTAATTGATTAATTAATTAATTTATTTATTCATTGATTGATTGATTGATTGATAAACTCTTGGCACAGGGTCTAGCTCTACACTAAAGATTATGTGAGGATATCCATCCATATCTTTTCTGTGGCAATGGTAAAGGGTCTAGTTTAGTTAGAAGGTATAGCTCTACTCTGTTTACCTCCTTCCAGGTTGGACGTGCAGCTATTGCAGTAGACATCGGCATTCACTTCTGTCATGTCTTTAAGCACCACCACAATGTCTGTAGTATTCAGTATCTGCTGCTGGTGGGCCAGGCCGCTTGGGGTCGCTCTTGCCATCTGAAATATTTAGTGAAGGCTTGTAGTCAGCAATTTCAAAACATATCCTGAAAATATGGGCTTTTTCAATGCTATGCATTGGCCAAATTGAGAAAGGACATACCTTGTGGAACCTAGATTAGTTTTTGATTAGGAGTTTACTCTTTCCGGTCAAAAAATCAGTTCTGCCCCCCCTTCCCCCCTCCTTTGACGCACCCCACAAGTCATATATCTATATAATTTGCCATATAACCCAACCTGT